GGAGGGCTGCAGTGATGGTTGACTTTCTTTGACTTTCTACAACTTTCTCCCATCTCCTGACTGCATCTCTGGAGCTCAGCCACAGTCATCTTTGGGTTCTTCTGTACCTCTCTCACCAAGGCTCTTCTCCCCCGATAGCTCAGTTTGGCCGTACGGCCAGCTCTAGGAAGGGTTCTGGTCGTCCCAAACGTCTTCCATTTAAGGATTATGGAGGCCACTGTGCTCTTGGGAACCTTAAGTGCAGCAGAAATTTTTTTGTAACCTTGGCCAGATCTGTGTCTTGCCACAATTCTGTCTCTGAGCTGTTCAGGCAGTTCCTTTGACCTCATGATTCTCATTTGCTCTGACATGCACTGTGAGCTGTAGGGTCTTATATAGACAGGTGTGTGGCTTTTCCTAATCACGTCCAATCAGTATAATCAAACACAGCTGGACTCAAATGAAGGTGTAGAACCATCTCTGGGATGATCAGAAGAAATGGACAGCACCTAAGTTAAATATACGAGTGTCACAGCAAAGGGTCTGAATACTTATGACCATGTGATATTTCAGTTTTTCTTTTTTAATAAATCTGCAAAAATGTCAAACATTCTGTGTTTTTCTGTCAATATGGGGTGCTGTGTGTACATTAATGAGGAAAAAAATGAACTTAAATGATTTTAGTATATGGCTGCAATATAACAGAGTGAAAAATTTAAGGGGGTCTGAATACTTTCTGTACCCACTGTATATTAAGCTTATAGAACACTAGTGCAATGGGATGAGATGGGATGAAACAGTGCAGAATAAGAAGATAAGTTACATGAGTGAACAGTTCAATGGCTGTAAATAGTGCAAAGATAAAGATAAATATATCTGCATATGAACAGTGTACAAATGAATACAGAGCAGTATCCTGTTAACAGATCACTTCAGTGTTACAGATAGCAGGGGTGTATTGCATTAGTCCTGGGAGGAGAGATGAGAAGGGGTGAGGTGTGTGTAGTGGTATAGAGGAAGGCAGTGGGGGGTTAACGGGGGACAGAGTTCAGTAAGGAGACAGTTGTGGGGGGGAGGCTGTTCCTGGATCTGCTGGTTTTGGTCCGGAGGCCTCTGAAGCACCTCCCAGAGGGCAGGGGGTCAAACAGTTTGTGAGCAGGGTGAGAGGAGTCTTTGAGAATGCTGCAAGCATGTTGGAGACAGCAGTGTGACCAGTAGCTTATGATGGCTAACTTTAGCTTAATTAGTTTGCCAAATTTTGATAGGTATTGCCATATACTGTAACTGACATTACTGATTTAGTTTGTGAAAGTATATATTTTTGAACAAAGAAGTATCCCATTCTTCTTCTTACAAATGAAAGTTTAATTCATACATGATAAAACATAGCCTTGATCAATTCAGTATACTGCTGGTCTGGTCCGATGTAGCTGGTTTTAGCTAACGACAGCTAATTCATTTAGCCAACGTTTGTTAGATATTACTGTGTAGATGGTATGACTGAGTCAGCTTTATGACATTGTGACTCATGTTTTGTGTTACTGTTGCACTACATTTTAGCATTTACCACTATCCTGTAATTACCACATGTGGTCACAGTGGCCGCTGCTCGGTGAGCGTGTAGCCTGATTTTGACTTGTTAAATGGACACACACATATTTTTTAATAAAAAAAAAAAGATAAATAATAATGTTAGGGATGCTTTTGTGCTTTTTTCTAATGCAGTTTAACTTGTTCCTGTAAACGCTTAATAAGGGGTTTTTTGGCCCTAGTTGTGTCTTCTTTCTATATGGTCACTAAAACTAATTGAAATTGTGCTATTGCTCACAAAGGCTGTTGAAAATGAACTTGAATGACTTAGTTGTTTTACTGTACATCCAGTAACTGTTTTCTAATATGGACTGTGGTTATTTGTCCAGCCTATGAAGCCTCTGAGGGCTGCAGCCACCACTTCCCAACCAATGCTGACCATCCAGCAAATAGAGACCATCTTCTTCAAGGTACCAGAGCTTCATGAGATTCACAAGGACTTCTATGATGCACTGCTGCCCAGAGTCCAGGACTGGAGCCACCAGCAGTGTGTGGGCGACCTCTTCCAGAAATTGGTATGGGGATGATGTTGGCATCAGTAGGACAACCAAGGAAACAAAAATGTTCATGTTGTAAATGCAAGTTGAGTATGTGGAGAATTGTTTTATTTGTGTTACGGCCTATGTACAGTCACACAAGCATACCAGGTAACCACTGATTTTGGAAATCCATTTATTTTGTACAAATGATTTTACCACAACCAACCATCCCTCTGATTTTTTTCATAGGTTGAATTATTTAAAGATATGAATTTGGAGAAAAACATGCCATAACGATGTTTCAGAGCTAAAGTAACAAAAACCTGTTTTTCCACATCTTTTGGCCTGATCTCAACACAGCAGGACACCATCAGCCAACCAAGTAAACAGTCTGAGAGCAGTCGAATACATATCTGGTGGGCTGATATGAGTGTAATGTTGAGATAATTGTTTGATTTCTAACACTTTAGCACTTGTGTAACTGCATTAGGGGTGTTTAGTTTAGTAACCACACACAACCCTCCTTTGGATAAGAAGACCAAACATAAACAGATAACCTCACAGCATCAAATTATATGTTGTTCTTTTTGATCAAACAGATTGACATTTGCCATGTCAGTAACATGTCAGTATAGCACTCCCTAAATGTCATGCCTTGTTCATTAATGATCATTAAAAAGGGGAGTCTTTCAGGGGAAGAAAGTGAGAGTCTTTGGCTGTTAGTAATGCTCAGTGGGTCTTGCATGTAAGCAGACTGCCTGGAGTCCTCTCCCAGCCAGATAAAAGCCTCACTACACCACATGACGAGCAGTGAAGGAGAACAAAACGCTCTATAGGAGGTCACTGAATAAGAGCTGTTGAATGAAGATCAAAAACATTCATATGTACAGGAGGTTGTATAAAAACACAAGCACTGTATCTCGTTGAACTGTGTTAATTACTCCTGTATTAGTATTATGCCAAGTCGTCCTGAGAACAGCATGCAGCATACACAGTGCCTGTCGTGGGCTAGTAAAATCTACCTTTGCTGTTGGGGAATGAATCCAATCTGTATTCTACTTGTGCCCTGTAGGCCAGCCAGCTCGGAGTGTACCGGGCCTTTGTGGATAACTATAAGGTTGCTGTGGAGACGGCTGACAAGTGCTGCCAGGCAAATGCTCAGTTTGCAGAGATATCTGAGGTATGTAATCACACTACACACAGCAGGACTGCGGCAGGCGAGTGTTTGATGTTGTACAGCTGCCTGGGACAAGTGATGACAGGGCGATTTTCTGCAGTCCTCACAGTGTTAAGAGATGTGCAGCTCTTTACAGCAGTGCTGATTGTTTTAATTGCACTGTGGGGGAGTTGCTCTGATTTAATGAGGGTAGTTTTTTGTCACCACCCCCTCCGATCTTATCTTCCTGCCAGAATCTGAAGGTCAAAAGCACAAAGGACTGTAAAGACCAGTCGGCTAAAAATTCCCTGGAAAGTGAGTACTGAGTGAAATGGATGGCCAGCCTCTACATTAATCAATATATGCTATAAGTGGTTTAGCTGTGACTGGGCCCGTTGATCTGACTCTTCCTCCTCCACAGCTCTTCTTTACAAGCCTGTGGACAGAGTGACACGCAGCACACTCGTTCTTCATGTAAGTCAGTCTGCCTTATAAACATTTGGAGCAACTGTTTGTCTGCATGAGAGTTTTGGGGGTATTGAATTTGTCATCATGTCTGTTTATTCTAGGACCTCCTGAAACACACGCCCTGCAGCCACCCGGACTATCCGCTGTTACAGGACGCCCTACGCATCTCTCAGAACTTCCTGTCCAGTATTAATGAAGAGATCACCCCTCGTAGACAGTCCATGACAGTTAAAAAGGGAGAGGTCAGTGTGGCAAGCACAGTCACTACATCATCTCACAGTTATACTAATGATTTTTTGACTCTGGGCTGAAAAGCCCATATTATACTCAGGTCCTCTTCCACTTCATACTTCCAGCTGACGCAGGATTTGCTGGTTATTTGCCAATATATATTCCACCAATTCCATTTGATTGAATGTAATGTTATTGATATTTGCTGGTAGAACAGAAAACGAATTAAGCTTGTTCTCTTTGTAGAGCAGGTGTTCTCTTTGCGAGGAACAACTTCAGTGGTTTGAATGGTGGGGTGGCAAAGTGACATATGGCCTGCCATATTGACTTCTTGCATGCTTTTAACTTCCACCCTTTTTTGTTAGTCTTCTGTATAGCAGCAATCCTTTTGTTTTGATGTGTAATTGGGATTTAGGAGAAATTAGTTTTTCTGGTATTCTGGCTTTTCCCCCACAAATATCTCATTTTAGAGACAAAAAATTATTGTGAAATGCCTGAAAACACAAAACATAACAAGACAAGAGTCTACAGCTCTAAAGGAGGTTAAATGCAAACAGAGTGCACCTGGAGTACCACAGCAAAGAGGCAGAATACTTTTGAGAGTAAGAGATTTTTGATTCTTGATCAATCTTCAGACAGCCCTGACCATAGTGTATAACTGGCGATTGTATCCATTCAAAATTGAATCCACAACACAATCAAATGCGCAGAAAGTAAAGAGGTCTGAATACTTTCTGAATCCACTCATGGTAATTGGGCTACATAATACTGAAGTGATAGATAATACAATATTGAGTGACAGGACCCTTGATTTTATGGTGCTGCAGTTCCGTTTTATCCCAGAAATGAACAGACTAGAGTATTTTAGATCGCTTTATTTATGCTTTTACTTAGATACCAGCATTGCATAATTCAGGATTATATCTGCCCCCATAGTTCTGTCATATCTTGCTGATAAAAAGTTCAGAACACAAAGTGTCTGGAAGCTGCATTAAAACTGGAGTATGAGTCAGATTGTTGCTGAATCATCTCAGCCTGTCTGCTTTAGTTGTGAAGGAAGTGGACTGTAGAGGAAGCTCATGACAAAGCCCTGCTAAACACTGGAGGCAAGGGTCTCTTGTCGCAAACCAGGAAAACCCGTTGATTACCTCTGTGCTCACTCCCATCCTTCCCTGCTGTGGTGTCAACTCTACTTTCCAGAAATGACCCACAACAACTTTACTTTCCAGCCAGCTGGCTGTGCACCGACTTGCCCATGGCTTCCTGGCCCTCCTGTCCGCCCCCCATACCTTCCATCTCGGGGATCTGATTCAAATGACCTGAGTGAGAATTTCCTTTGTTTTTCCTGGGAAGTGGGCCTGCTCACCAGGGTGGGATTTTAAATCAAAGAAAGTCCTTGGAAACATTCCTCTGTATAGATTGACAGATAACAAGCCAGCACATGATAATCAGTTTATTGGTTTGTTGTTGCACGCGATCTTGGCTACATTTGCATCCGTGGTTGATGTTTTGCACCGTAGCTGCCTGTAATTACCATGACCACTTAAACCCATGAGATTATTTAAGTTTCTCCTCTTGAACATGGCTCAGTGCTCAATGCCTGATTATAGTGCATTAAAAACAGGAACACATTCAGTGTCACAAGTGTGTGAGCACTGTGCAGCCACAGCTCTTGTTTGTCCATTGGGTTACTGACTGTTTGTGGCAATGTCTGTGTGACAAAACAATGACCTGATGTAAATCTGCCACCTCTTGTTGAAACCAGCACTGCAGTGAACATGTTTAAGGCCCTCGCCACCATGCTTGTAACCAACCAGTACTGAGCTGGAGTGTGCAGAAAACGGCAAAGGAAAATCATGTTGCAATGATTTCCTTGTTTTTGCCAAACTGTGGTTGGCGTGGGATGGAAAATTCGCACATGGGCAGCATCAGTGTAAACAGCCTTCAGCCCAGACATCAAAACAAGGATGGTGAACTTTAGATGCATGCTGCTGCAGGAAGAACTAGGTGTCATCACATCCGCCTTTAGTCTCAGGCCGGACAGGGTGACGATGAGTTGGCGAAGCTCTGAAATTATAAGACATTAAGATTTTAGGTAAAGAAAATCATCGGAGTATTGGAGGGAAACATTTTGGGCACTGACCTGTTTTGGTCACATCAGAAATGATATATTGTTTATTATTTAGTTTACTCCTGCTGTGAGCTTTGGTAGCATTGTCTGAAAGCAGTAGCATCACCTCAGGCTGCACACTAATTCCAAGCATACATAGACGTCCGACCATAATCACTGTTTGTGAACCAAAGATTAAGCCATTTTAACTTTAGCATCAGTATAAACTTTATTTAGATACTGTACCTTCAGCAGTTCTTAGTGATGCAGTTGTTTGTTTTTGTTGCAGCAACATCTCAGTTCTCAACCCCAGTTTCATTAGTGAGCGCAGTGATGTGATTTCTGGTTTCCCGTTTGGCAGAACCGTCAGCTGCTGAGGGATCGTTTCATGGTGGAGCTGGTCGAAGGTTCCAGGAAACTCCGTCATGTCTTCCTCTTCACCGACCTGCTGCTCTGCACCAAGCTGAAGAAACAGGCTGCAGGGTGAGTTGAGGTCGGCGTCCAGCCGGAGGCTGGAGATGCAGGCTTGTGACCCATATGATCCACTGATTCAAATCTCTGCTGGGGAGTCACTCCACCCAGACAGACAATGAAGTTGTTAATTTAAATTATGCTTTGTTGAAAATAATTGCAAAGCAAGGTAAAGGTTTAATTTCTTCACCAGTTTTGTAAATGTGTTTGCAAACTTATGGTCTGTCATACTGTTGGCTTCACATTCTGCTAAAAAAAAACAGGCTAACATGACAATTTGTTGGGTGAAGATTAGAAAGTTTAAGATGCATATGTGTCCTCCAACAGAAAAGGACAGCAGTATGACTGTAAGTGGTACACCCCACTGGCTGACCTGACCTTCCAGGCCATTGAGGACTGTGAGTCCACCCCCATCCCTCTGGTCCAGGATGAGGAGATCGATGCTCTGAAGGTGAAAATCTCCCAGATGAAGAATGAGATCCAAAGAGAGAAGGTGAGGATGTACACACACTACAGAATATTAGCAACACAACACAGAGCAGACACAGCAGAACAGTGACTGCTTTGTATCAAAGTCTGAATACAAACTCAAATACAATGAAGAACTTGACACATGTGAATAGAAGCAGTAGTCTAGACAGCAGGCCCTGCATTACACTAACCTTGTTGATGTGTATCTGTAGAGAGCCACCAAAGGACCTAAGGTGATTGAACGCTTGAGGAAGAAGTTGGCAGAACAAGAATCTCTGCTGCTTCTCATGTCCCCCAACATGGCATTCAGAGTGGCCAACAGAAATGGCAAGGTCAGTCAGTAGCGCATAACAAGGGATATTTCAATACGTTTAAGTAGTGGAGGAAACATTTTACCTGGTTGGGAGTTGGGAATGTGTTGTACTGTACCTTCAGTGAACAATTTCTGGCTCCTGCCGCCCTCTGCTGTTGACAGCAGGACATTACAATATGAGGTACAGTAAACTCTAGTACAATTATCCTTGCTGTCTTTCAGGGTTTCACATTTCTCATCTCTTCTGATTATGAACGTGCTGAGTGGAGGGAGATTATTCGTGAGCAGCAGAAGAAGTGTGAGGGGGTTTTTCCCTTTACGTATGATGGCAATATTATTTGGATGTCAGTTTTGGTGTGTCTTGACTTTTCCTTAACTCATCCTCTGCAGGTTTTAAAAGCTTCTCTTTAACCTCTCTGGAGCTGCAGATGCTCACTAACTCATGTGTGAAGCTCCAGACTGTTCACACCATTCCAATGACCATGAATAAGGAAGGTAAGGTAAACAAATTCCTTGTGTGTGTAACATACTTGGCCAAATAAAGTGATCATTATTATTATTATTATTATACCCTTGTTTTTGTATTTTATGTCAACCTGAGCTCTCTCCTTTTCTTTCCATAGATGATGAATCTTCTGGTTTATATGGCTTCCTGAATGTCATCGTCCACTCTGCATCAGGGATCAAACAGAGCTTAAGTAAGTGGCTTGTTTCCCTGTTTTTGCTGCATCACTTTGAGAGGCTGCACGTGGTGTCCCATCATCTGCTGTGTTAGTCAAGTCTCATAAGCTGCACCCACCCTCTCTCTGTGCTTCTGTCAGCTGGGAGGGCAGCTGCAGGGGTAACAAGTGGGATTAGGCAGGAACACTGTGTACAGGCTGTCTCCAGCAGGTCTTATACACTGGGCATGTTTCAACCAGATGACTAATATGGATCCTTAGTTTTTACTTTCACTTTGATTCATCAGTTAAAACTCCTTGTGCCTCTGCCCACCAGACCTTTACTGCTCTCTGGAGGTGGATTCGTTCGGTTACTTTGTCAACAAAGCCAAAACACGGGTGTATAGAGATTCCACAGAGCCCAGCTGGAACGAGGTGAGAGTGCAAACCAGACTGCAGACAGTGAATATTACAAAGACAAATACATCTACTGTACATGATGCAACAAGAAACGCTGCCAGCATGTAGCCTGCATTTCCCCCAGATATCATTTTGTTACATTAAATCAGAGCAGCTGTGAAACAGGCCGTGGATGTTCAGTAAACTGTTCTCTGAATACAATCATATTGTTGTGCATAGGTCTGAATCCTAACATGCGTTTTCTTTGTTTCCCTGCAAGGAGTTTGAGATTGAATTGGAGAGCTCACAAACCCTGAGGCTGCTCTGCTATGAGAAGTGCTGCAGCAAAGCCAAGCAGAGCAAAGAGGATGGAGAGATCACAGACAAGATTATTGCCAAAGGACAGATAAAGGTATGGGCAACCCATTGAAAGGTCACAGCAAAGGATTTTTGAGAAATACTTGGAGGACCAGACTGGTATAGCTTAAGATTTCTATTAGAGCCAACCCAGCACTAGGTTTCTGAGGTCCAGTATTTGACCATTTTACAATATTAATTTTACATTACATTTTACCAATACTGTAAAAATAAATATATAACAAACAAACATTTGGTATGTATTATTTAAAGTTGTATTTTAAAAGAATTAGGTTCAAGATTCTGTATGTACTGAGTGGAAAAGTTTTCTACTGTATGAATGTCACTTTCGGCTATTCCTGTTATGGGTCGTCACAGCGAATCGTCACACCGGCGATTCGCATGTTGACATTTGACACAACCCTGACTTGAACCCTGGCCGCTGCACCCTAACCACTAGGCTATCAGGGAACCGAAAGTTTACTACTGTATAATACTGTGGGGCCCTTCATTACTGGCAGGGGAATGAGCTATGAGGTTGTGGTTGGGTCACTTCAGCTTGACCCCTGATAGGGTGTTGTGACAGAGGGTGGATTAGACTCTGGGTTGACCACATGTAGCTCTGCAGTATGATGGTGGAGGGTGGGGGCTTTTTGATCAGCCAATGAAAGGCTTTTCCTTCTGTACCTGAGGGTCAAAACACCATGGGGTCTTAGAGGAAAGGAGCTGTGAGTGCTGCCAGTTAAATACTGGTGATGTTCTCCAGAGGCCAGCAGCCTGGAGAGAGGACATTTGTTGTGTGCTTAAGACACTTTCTTGACCTGTGGTGTCACGCTGGCCTTTCTGCTTGCTCTGTTGAGGTCTGCGTGAGTGGAAGTAAAACAGTTTGTACTTCTCAAATTGAGAAGAAGTGATTAAAGGTGACAGAACGACCCATCTAATAAGTACAACTTAAAGTTATTTAAACTGTTAAGGTGTAAAATGCTTGAAGGGGGGAAAATATTAAAATTTTTTTTTTTTTTACTGAAAAGAGAAGAAAATAGAAAATACAAACATTTAAATTAAAGAAGAATTTAAAATAAGTTGCTGGCTGTAAAATATGTCTTTTCCAAGCTTTCTCAGTGTAACACAGTATTGTTTCAGACATGGGGAAGACAAAGTATATGTTAGTTCTAATGTTAAAGGTCCCTAGTACGGATCACTAATTGGCCCTAGAGGATCCTGTTCGGGTTACCTGAGCTATCAGCCAGCACTCTCCACTGTGGTAGGTGTGTGCATGTTTGTAATGAGGGTAGGATGGGATTCTCAGCAAATCCCCCAGATCCACGTGGGAAGTAGAACAACACAGAGGCAAACATGCTGCATGGCTTTGTTCCTGGAATGACAGGATTTGGAGTCCATCACTGCCAAGATGTGAACATGGCACAAAGTTTTGTAATATTTCAACTGGGCTACATCCATGAGGATCATCAGGATTTGTCAAAGCAAAAAGATCAGTGGCTCTTCTGTCAGGGAAGAAGGATCTGGTCCTAGTGTTAGTGCAGTGGTTTAGAGAAGTGTGATTTCTGTGGAACAGCACTGGTTTCTTTGTTTGTTTGCCATCGGTCAGAGAAAGTAACATTTCAGAGCTCATGCCAGAATGGATGAGTGAGAGTAATCCTAATGAGGAGCAGGGTGTGCATCGAGGCAGTAGCGGTCAGGAGCAAGAGGGAGACACGGCTTCAAGAGCAACCCCCAATTACAGGGGCCCATCTGTGGGACACAATCCGCAGCGGTCTGTTCAGACCAAAGGTAAAGATGTAGGAGGTGAGCTGTGGACAGGTGCACTGGATGCAAGGAAGCGACATCTGAGAACAGACTTGCTTTATCTTTCTCTTTTTCTGGTGATGTTGGGATTGACATCTTTTGACATTTAGAAGTCAGCATTGTACCTACCGCCTTTAGAAAAAAAAACCTTTTCATTTTCCATAGGTCAACTGAATCACTGAACAAAGGATTATCTGAATAAGGTTTGATTGTTACTTGGGTTCAAGGACATCTGCCATGTTGGACAGGCCTAGTACTTAGTGGCAGGCACATGATCCTGTCACGTTACTCATGCCTGATCACTGTAAATACAGTCTGGCAGTTTGGTATTAGTCAGATGACTAAAATAGATCCCTGACATGAGTTAATGCTACCTGACCATATGGGGTTTGTCTTTGTGTGAGGCTGAGAGAAGTCATTGAGCAGGTGATACTTACAGTATATTTATCTGAATTTATTTATGTATACAAAAAGTAAACTTAATTCACAGAAATATTTGTTTTCTTTTAAGTATTTTAATATAAACATAGTGATTATCTCATTTTAAAGCTGATACTGGCAAAATACTTCCTGTTTTCTAATTCTGGAGAGAATCTGAAGTGACTGTTGAAATAAAAATTCATCTTTTTTCCAGCTGGATCCTCAGACATTGCAGAATAAAGACTGGCAGAGGACAGTCATCACCATGAATGGGGTGAGTTTTTAACCAGTCCAGTGAAAAAAGACTTAACAGACAAGTTTAAGTTGGAGTTTAAGTTGTTTTGCTTTCACAAATAGAATAAAAGTTTGGGAAATTTGAAACTGTGTTTTAAACAGGCTAGACTAGATCTGACAAATGTAAGTGATGCTTGAGCTAAACCCGGTCTGATGTGGTCTGTATTAGAAGAAAAGCACTGAAATGTCCCTATTTTTACAAATGAAATAAAGGTTTCACAAATCTGAAAGTCAAGTTCTAACCAGCTTTCAGGCTTTGACATCTAATACTATAAGACAACAACTA